AGAGTGAGTTTAAGAAAAAAGTGTCTGAATACTTGTGCTTGCAGAAGTGAAATAGGCATGGAACGAGTAACATGAGACACAGGCTTTCGAGTTCATCTCTTCAACCGTTTCACTCAAGAGACACAAAGATGTTATCCTCCTACCAACACCTGAATGCCAGCTGGAAATAAGTTGGCATTGCCACAAACTTTTAGTTGGCTGCCTACCTTCCACTACAAGTTTTACTAAGAGCTCCGCAAAAGCACTATGCATCGAATAGGCCATATAAATTAATTTCTCCACTCCACACAAAACTAGCTCAATCAGATCAAAACTGAGACAAAATAAATCCATAAATTATGCACTCCATAGACAGAAGACTTCAATTTGTGTACAATAGCTAGAAATGAAACTCATTTGTTCGGTCTAGGCAAAAGGTCACATATTGAAGTACTATATTTCAAACATGGAATGATGATTCTGCTACAATTTTCCACCATATATACCATAAACATAATTTATACTAGATGAAGATGTAATTACCTTTGTAACAGTTAACATATAAAAATTGGTTACACTGTTTTCATGGGCACGTTTGATCCGCAACCTGCACTCTTCTTCATCAATTAGCTCACCAACATATTCGTTCACAAATTCACCCTGAAAAATAAGAGGAAAAAAAATTAAAAATCCATACTTATTGTTTCTTTTAGGTACAGATAAAGGGAAGCAGCACAGGAAAAAAATGCACTTCCTATTATATACTGTAATGCTCACAAGAAGCATTAAACTTCAGGCACCTAGTAGGTAATATGTGATTAAGTAGATGTGCCCACTGAGTAGTTGTCATCTAAGCAATAACCCCACTCAAAGTAAAAGAGGCAGCATTGGAAGCAACACTGCTTCTGTATTCAAAAACAGCTCAAGATGCTACATAAGCCCTACCTGGCAGTTCACTAGAATGTTTTTAAGTCTCATGCTTTAAAAAGGAAAATGTGAAAATACTCATAGACTCCTAAGACAATAGGACTAGTACAATGGCAAATATTTTCACTACATAGTATTCAATAGTTCGTTTTTATTAGGACTTTTAATAGTCAATAATAAGCTTTGGAAAGGCTGTAGTAACAAAGTTTTAATGAAACACAGATTATACAAAAACTGACTTAAAAAAATTAGTCACTAAGAACATGTTTAAAAGTAGGCCTTCAGGCCAACAGCGTGTTCCCAACTTACTATATAATGGAATTTAGAATAGCTGGGACATGACGATACCTTGATACAAGGAGGTAAATACTCAGCACACTGAGCATCACTTTACCCATCAGCAGCTGACTGTCTTGATAAAAACACTGTAAAAATAGCTATTTGATACACTCAAATTCAAAGGTCCAACAAGCACCTGGTATTTCAACTCTCAATGAACAACTCTCACAAAATACAGTACAACATGGTAACCAACACTATATTGTCAGCTATGCCCAGGGACAGACGCCTAGGCAAGCTCAGAGCTGTCAGGTCCTCTAAAGGACACTAAAGGGCTCCAGAGAGCAACGTCCATCTTTGCTTGACCACGTTCATGGTTGTCACAACTTGAACACGAAAGAAGAAAACAGTTAACGGAAGGGGTGGAAATCGAAGTTAGGCAGCTGAGGTGATGCTTGCAAGAGGTACCTAAATGACTCAGAAGCCCAGCACTCGTTAAGATTGATTTAAGGTTTTTAAATAGTCCGAATCCTATCTAAAGCACATTCACTTGGATCAAGTCACTCAGGTGCTTCTGAAAATCTTAGCCTGAATCAAGAAAACAAAGTCCCTTTGTCACCACCAAGTTGCTTTCTGTTCAGCCTATCTGTTTGGCAACAGCTGGACAACACAACAGACTCGTGGACCTTTTTCAGTAAAGCTCCTTCAGGACACAAACGTGTTTCTGTAATTTGCAGGTTAAATTCACAGGAACTCTACCATAAAACACCAAAACCTGCTACAAACATTTACCACGTACTTGGGATAGGAATAATCATAGTGTATTAAAAGGTTATTAAACACAAATTTTCTACCCATTATTATTTCTTCTAGCTACTTGTTGATAAGCCAGTTAGGTATGAATAGATTTAAGTCCCAAATACAGTCAAGGGCTTCCACTTGTAACTGAGGTGGTGGTTAACACAGAATCCTGTCTGAAACTGATTTGATAACACAACTCCAGTATCATCGTTCATAAGTGCATGCTCATCATTTAAACTGCTACATACTATTTCTCTACATCAGATTTCTAGAGACCATAAACTCCATTTCTAAACAAAGCCCAGGAGGTAGATATCTAATGAAAATGGACAGAAGTAAAGAATTCACAGTTGAAATTACTATACATGAGCCCAAAGCTTGACATTGCAGGATCTCTTTAGTGGATTATCCTACATGCTACGTATACATAATATATAAACATCACATCACTTAACGATTAAAGAATCGATTCAGAATCTCTTTGCTTTTATCTATACATTCTGATTACATTCAAAGCTAAACACATCATCCAACAGGGACTATCCAATCCAAAAATGTCACAGCAGAATTTCCAGTCTGGAGAGCAGCCAGTTTCCTTCTATAGAGAAGTGCAGTGTAATCCTTACATCAAGCTAAAGTCCACCAAAACTATGGGATGCATCTTCATGATGAGAAGTTCCAGGATATTTTTCCTATTAAGATGAGTGCAAATTCAAACTGAAGAACATAGGAAGGCAACCAAGAACAAAAGAGTTCTCTAGAGCAGATTCTTGAGGATGCGGGTCAAATGACAAAAACGTGTCTTGAAGTCTTAAACTGTCCCATTCCATCTGTAGCCATAGCTGCATCTTCCACTTTTCAGGTGTATTCAGCCATCTCCTTGTTCAGAAACAACGAAGCCTGCATGAGTAAGAGCAAAACATACATCCGTCCATCAGATCCAATCCTCTGCCTGGTAAGTTAAAGCAGACGTGAATTCCAGGCCCATCATCCTCATGCTTGCCTCGAAGTACAGCAAGACTGCAATCCAGTTAGAAGAGGATTCTCACACTTGAATATCTAAGTGTAAGATTTTGTTTTTCCATATCAACTGTCGCAAATCCCACCTGAATCCCAGACTGGTATCCCCAAGAATACAATGTGCAGCGATACAGTGTAAAGGAAAACCAAAATGATCCATATCCAATGACTTTCTGACAGTAAGGGAAAAGTATTCCCATGCCCCCATCTCACTCTGATCTCACCCACTAGCACTCTTTTAAAAGATGCCAACCATTCTAAAATTTATTCCAAAGTCCTTAATATTTCCTGAGGCTAATGAGTCCTTGCTGCTTTTTGTTATAATAGCAGCATCACTTCCACCAACAGAAATCACTGTATCTTCATTATTCTTCTCTGCCTTCTTGAACTTTAAGAACCTTTAAAGTTTGTTGTCCAATGCAGCCCGATCACCTCAAGCCTTTCATTAATCCCCTGCGAGTTCTTCTGAAATAAATCCAGGCTGAAGAGTTGATCGCCAAGGAGGGTGAGATAGCTGCCTTGTTACCAGACGTCTGTAAAAGTAATACTGCAACCCCTCCCACTCCAAACAATCGGCTACTGGGAAAATGCAGTGAGCATGTTACCGTGGAATATCTTAAAAAGAAAAGGCAAAGGAAAGACTTAAGAATAACCCCCTGGAAAGAGGCTCTCAATTCAAGCTGCCCTCCACCCACCCTTTGAGTTTCTCCTGTGTCTTTGTGATTGTCATTTGTTGTGCCTATGGTAAGGGTGAGGGGAAGAAAATAAAAACAGGCAACTTATTTTGCCATCCCTCTAAGATTTAATTATCTTCCATAGCCTTATTTAGGTAAAGAAACCATCATTATTTTTTTCCAGGCTGCTCTCCCTTCTTTCCCAGTAGTCAGTGAGAACACGCATGCTCTTTCCTCCTAGATGCACGAGACAGTCAACTCTTCCCCTCCACCAACAGGATTCACAAATTCACAATCAACTGAAACTTATTTCTGTGTGTAAGTACCAGTTAAGACAATTCTGCCCAATCAGCTAAGACTTCACTATTACTGCTTCACCTACAAAAGTTTTATGTCTTTTTAATACAAAACAATGACTTGAAAGTGCTGAAATTTGTGTGCATTAGCTTAAGATACACAAAGTTGCAGTGTTCTCATAAATAAAATCATGCTAATGGCTAGCACAGCATTTGTCCTTTGCAATTCTACCTTTTTAATGTTCCTTTTTGTCCTGAGACCCCATCCACGTCGATCAGTTTTTATGATTTCAGCATCAGGGTAGAGTCTTTTGGTGAAACACTGGTTCTGACATCGCTCTCCTGCTGGGCAAACCTGGGGATGGCACTCATACTGTAGCATCCTGTTCAGACACTCCGATTCTAGGCCACAGGGGTTCTCATCAGATGGCTTGCAGTTACAGCGAGGGATTTCTGATAGATCAGCTACTTGAATCTGAACCTTCCCTATTACTTTGTTGGACTGCAGGACAAAGGGGAAAAAAAAAAGAATAAATGATGAAGACAATGCACACAGAACATGAAACAGCTTTATTTGAGGTTTATCATCACCTGACTTGAGAGGGCAAGCAAATAATTATTACATAGTTATTTTTCCACTAAACCCTTTTTGTAGGATAGTGTGTCACAACAAATATACTCCCTTGCAATCTAGAAGCAGATGCAAGCATGAACTTCTACAGGTGGCATCTGTTGCCACTCAACTGTTAACTTAATCAGAGGTATATTATAGTGTTCAGAGAAGCCAGTAGCAAGTCACATTAAGTCGAGACCCTCAGATAAAACGCATGACTCCAGACAACACAGCATGAGTCATTCACCAGTACAGTTACTGGTAAAATGGCTCTTTCAAAGCATACAAAATTTATCAGATGCATCCCTGGGACTTCTTTCAACTAAAATTAAAAACATTAAGTGTCATACCAGTGTTGAGTTCAATGTTAACAAAGTTTAAGTTGTAATAGCCAGCATTTTTATTTAAGATGAATGACACCAACCTGTATACAGTCATCAAAATTCTTTATCTTAAGTAGAACTGACATTCAATTGATAAGTCTTTCACTGACCCTCTGCTAAAAGAATGTTTTATGGGACCATATAAGGCAGAACAAAAGATTTTGGAAATAATGGCAAAATGATTTATTTATATTTCCTTAAGTTGGAATTGTTACAAATTTTGCTTGTTTAAGTACATAGCTTACTCATGCAAAGAATAAAAAAAAAGTCAACTCACTTTAATATGTTTATAAGGTGGAGGTTTTCTTGAATTCCTTTCAATTTCTAACGCTTCTTTGCTTTCTCTTTGTGCTTTCAGCTCCTGGAAGCGTTTTGCTGCTTCTTCAAGTGCTGTGCAAGGGAGTTCAAAATAGGAAGCAATCAGCACCACTTACTGCTGATCAAATATGTACATGTATGTATTTAAATGCATTTTTTAAAAGCTAGGAATAGAAGTCTATGAGCAAAACACAAGCTAAAAATGAGTTATTGTGGTATATCATGAAACTATCTCCAATCAGGTACTTCTCAGCAGGTATTGAGATACTGAATGATGATCCCATGCATCAGAGCCCAAGCTCCATCTTAATGTTTCCCAATTTGTGGAATAACTAAACTTGCCCGCAACAATACACAATGGGAAGGGACTTAAAGAAAGATATTTTTTATCTGCAGTCAAGGGATCTATATAATGTTTGCAGTTTTACGTGAACACAGAACACTAGTCACATAATATTCCCATGCAGGTTAAGTGGTGATGGAGACACAAACACGTGGAACTTTTGTCATAAACCACTATAAACTTTGTTTGATTTTACCTTTCTTGAAGGTCTTGTTAATACTAGTTTGCCCCTCAGCAAAGCTTTTATCTCCTTCAACATAAGGGAAAACTCTGCCCTGGTGTACCCAATAGTAGTCATGTGAACCAAAGAAAAATACTGGGAAGTCCCCGATATCATGTTTGAGGCCCTGTATGTTGAGAGGCACAGACCTGGGATTGCAGATCTCTGCTGGCCACCACCTGAAAAAGTAGAAAAAGAAGTAAGAATCTAAGTTCTGTGAACCAGAAGAAAAAGTCTTAGCTTCTGAATTTGCCCAAGTTGCGAAGTATGAGCTACTTTTCCTTTCTAAAAAAAACTCCTTTCTTATGCAAACACGGCTCCCTTCACCAATACCTAGGAAGCACCCTGCAAAACAAAAAAAACACTTCATTCTCAAAGTTCTAATTCCAAATTTTGGAAAAGTCTTACAAAAACATGTGGCACAAGATTGGATTTCTAAGATCACCTACAAAGGCTTGTATTCCTGCAGGTGACAAACAGCAAACACAAGCTAGGGCACCTTGATTCTATAAGGCAGTCCCTGATTTTCTGTATCACTATTGCACTCTACAGAGCCAATGTAAGTGAACTCAAGTATCCAGCAATGCCTGGAAAAAGTAAAAGAATTTAATTTAAAAGGTGACATCAGCGTCTGACACCAAGTTCGCAAATTAGTGAATTTCCAGTTCTTGCTTACTAGGACTGAGCTGCTTTGAGATGTTTGCCTGTAATTCCTGTACTTTAAAACCATCCAAAGCATCAAACAAACAAAGATGGTGAACTTGCCTGTAATTTCCAAGCTTGACCCAAACAATCTGCTTGTAACGTAGTTTCTTGCCAGCTTTACAGTCATTGCAATTCCAGCATCCTTCAGGCATTTCAATGTTGAGACACTCAGGGTGAAAGGAAGCTGGGCAGGATTCACAGCACAATAATTTTCCACCTTTAAACAAAGAAACCCTACTTGGTTTATAGAAGTAATGATTTGCTTTCCCCTGTGCATAGCAATGGTTTATAGAAGTAATAATTTGCTTTCCCCTGTGCATAGCAATCGATATTAATTTTAAGTTATACATGCTATGCTTTGATCTGCCTTACAGCAAACAAACGGCAAAAGAAAGGGATCAAGTCAGACTTACAATGCTGGATTAAAAAAAAGAGACTGCACAATGCACTTATCTAATGTATAAGTTGTGACACTTGACTGCATCAAAGGTGAATACAGAAGAGCAAATGAGTTTGTTTTAAACATGAGGTAAGTTGTCACTAGAAGCAACATTCACAAAGGAAGCACTACGTATGAAAGCAGCAGTGCTAGCTTTTGTGTAGTTAGGCGGTGGCCAACGCTAAGTGATAAATACCTGAATTTTAGGGAACACTTTTTAAAATCAACATTGTCATGACTGAATCCCTTAGCAATCAGTTAGTGTCCATGAAAAAACCCCACAGCCTATAGGTTGATCAATGCTTTTCTGTACCAAAAATGTTACAAATTTAAAAAAAAATTGTAGTGATAAATCTGTATTTATTCTTTAAAAAGTTTACCTGTATGAGCACTGTAAATTCAATTATATAATGCAGAATGAGACACCACACAAGAGCTCTCCCCATCCCAAAAGTTCCCTTCGTACACAAAGGAAATCTGATCACAGTGTGGTTAAGATTACTTCTTACACTTTACACTTATTTGGACAAAAGTTCTTTTGGCTGGCTTATATTCTGGCAGATGTATTAATTGTGGAGAGCCACAGCACATCTCTAAGCCATCTGCAACAAATAAAGCAGCTCATACAATAGTACTTGTTAAAATATATATCTATATAAACACATATATATTTCTATACGTGTGTGTATATCTACGTACGTATATATATAAAAATTTAACAAGTTTTGGTGTCCCAGACTGAAAACCGGGAGAGATTTGAGAGTATTTAATGCGATTTTTGACCACAGTATCAAAAGAAGTGTGAACGGTAACTTTCAAACTTTTATCAGAAAATTTTGCCCACCTATAGACTTCCAAAAATGTCATTGCATTAATTGATTGTTGTATATTGCGATAAGCATTCCTTAAAAATAAATCAGTGACACAATCAATACTGTATTTCCTCTGCTAGAAAACATAATAAAATCCAACCATTTGGACTTTCCAGAGCTTCCCAAACCCACAATAAAGTTTTAGCTTTTAAAATAATTTTTGCAGAAGTTATTTCAGAGGAAATACAGACCCAGTGTGAATTATTGAAACAATATCCAACATGGTAAAATGCCAACAGATGCAAAACCAAACAAAAAAAAAACCACAAAATTTTCAGTGCTAAGCAAGGGGAAAAAAAAAAAGAAACTTTGCTTTCAGGATGCATTAGTAAGATATTGCTCAAGCTAAGCAGAGGGCTCAAAATAATTTTTATTTTCAGGAATTACAGAAACTACTGAAAGCCATCAATCTAGCAGCATTCAAAATAACCTAACTTTAGAATGGTTAATTGGGCACCATTTCTGAACATTCTTGGGGGATCAAATTTCTGTGGGGAAGAGAGTATTACCTCCGATTATTTTTTTTAAAAAGACAGTGGAATCTCTCTCCATAAGGTATTTTGAGACGCTACAGCATTCCCTGTACCAGTGTAAAATGATCTACTTCTCCTGCAAAAATCCTCTTTTCTATCTTAGCGCTGCATACTTTTCTTCACAGGACAGCAACCCTGCCTGCTGGAGATAAGAGCATCTCCTGTCACTCATAGTAGTCAGTCACATCAGAGAAAGGAGCACTAGCTGTCCCAAACTAATCAAAGTGGAACACAAGGCCCAATGACCGTAATGGACACATACACAGGCAAAACCTTACTGCCTTCGTACATCTTTGGACTTCCTCTGGAATGGCAAGCATACCGATCAGTGTTCAACCTGAAAAACCCTATACTCTTTCAGGGTTTGCATAAACTACCTAAAAGAATTGAAACAGAACATCCCCCTCTTCTTCCTTATATAAAATCAATTTAAGCTGTTGGTAAGTACTGAACTGCAACTACATTAAGCTCTAGTTGGCTCCTCTTTGTATTGCTCTGCAAATAGCTTCCCTAAAGTTAGAATAACCCAGGTCAGCTACAAAACGATTTAACCTCTGCAAAGGAGAATTTAGTGACAGTAATTATTTTAAGCCCTTTTATAATAAAAAAAATTGCCAACAACACGAACACACGCTCACAGTAATCAATGAGTGAAGTTTACTAAAAGCAACAAGTGGTGCTTGACAAGCAAACATTTCTTGTTTGATTTAAAGAGAAAGAAATAATAGAAAAAGCAAAAGTAAATTAAAGAGAAAGAAACTATTTTGGTTACCTTTCTCACATTTCTTTTTGGAAGCTGACGAAGGAGGAGGAATCATAGGTAATTTCATCAACTCAGCACGATTTGATTCATTCAGTAGGTAGTGGGACTTATAGGCATATGAACTGAACATGGGGTCTGAATGATCCTGCACTACCAACCCTATACGAAACAAACAGAAAGAGATGAGTTGCAATGAAACTACCCATGATTCCATAAAGGAGAAAATAAAATAAATCAAATGAACACCTATAATGCATATATATAAAAGGGTGAATGAAAAAAGATAAAATGAAGAAAAAGAAAAGTCTGACAGAAAAGGTTTCTTTACTAAGAAAGAGGTTACGTGTTGGAGAGGCTAAATTCGGCTGTATCTGGAAAAACCTACAATGAATAAGCCATTTCTAAGTGGAAGTTCAATTGTGCTTTTAGTTTTAATTTGTACATTTATAGAAAAGCACAAGAAAAGGCATTTGATTTGAATGCTGTGTGAATACTGTGTGAACCACCCTCCCTCCCAAATGAAAAAGGTAAGCCCTTTTTAAGAGTTGAGTTATGATGGCCACTGCATCAAACGTAACACTGTTAGTTGGGGCTACAGAGAGAGAAAAAACAAATGCATTGTATAGAAGGCCCCACATAGCTGAAAAACTCACCATCCTGGTTGCTACAAATCTGATCTCTAAGATTCTACCTATGAAAGCGTCTTCATTATTGCATCAGAAAAAAAATAATGGGAGGGGTCAATTCTGCAAGGCACCAGAGGCAAAAGAATGGATGAAACGTCCACCCTATCCCATTTAAGTAAAGCTCCACCAACCCTGCAACTCCACAACTATAAAATTAAACGCTTTGCAGCAGTCAAGCACATCACATTCCATTTTCCCATCTGCCTTCACTTCAAATAACGTGTTTGTCCTTTTTCTCTTGTCTTTCTCCACAAAAAGGAGTTCGCTGGATCATAGCGCACTTTCCATGTTGTTCCAAAGAGTCAGGCAGCCTAAAGCCAGAGAGCCATAGCTATAGATCAGAAACGCATGGCCAGTAATTCAAAGGAATAACATAGCAATTGAGTCCCAAGAAGCAGGAAAGATGAGCTATCAAAATAGCAACACACTCTTGCCATTGTGAGCGCACTGCTGTGTCCAGAAAACTGGATTAAGGAGAAGAGCATCCACCTATCTGAAAAGCGTGTCCTCAAAGGGGTTCATAAAACATAAGAGAAATCAACTTACAAGTATGACCTATGCTTATGTAATTATGTGGACTAGGAAAGGGCTCAGTGAAGGATATTTCAGGATAGTGAATTCAAAGTCTTAAAATACACTGTATTTCAAGTATCTGATGATAAGCAAGTTTTACATATCCTACAGGCATTCTGATATCTGCATTTCCTCACTTTATATTTAGATACAAAACATTACTGAAGTTTCTCCTTCTAACATAAACTAAAACTTATCAACCAACCATTCTCACATACAGATGCCCAAGTATTTCTAAAATACTCAAGTTTCCTATTTCTTTCTGAACAGGTATTCTCAGTGCTCCTGCCACAGATGCTGTCCTCACCATACGTCCCTCATGCTGACCACATATGACTAGAGAGGACTCAAGTCAACCCATCCTGGGAGAGTTTGCTAAATATAAACCTCACGTAAGCTTTCTTCAGTGAAGCACACTGGCTCCTGATTCCAGCTATGCCTAGTAGAAACAAACCCCACCAAAATTTTCTAAAAGAGAAAGTAAATAGCTGCTATAAAATACATAGGATTCAGTCAGTGGTAGTGGTTTGTAACTCAGAACTAAGTTCTCAGAACTAAGACTCAGTGAACTATGCAAGGCTGGAAATCCCATCTGCTTGGGTACAAACACTACTTATACTGCCAGGAGAAAATACAGACTTCCACACAGTTCAGTTTCCGGTCTGAGGAAGACAGATTTAGATATAAACAGAATTACTAAAACAATGTCAAAAAAGAAAACATTTTCTTACGCAATCCATTAATTTTTTTAGAAATAAAGTCAGGTCTGCATCTTCCGCAAGCATCAGGATTCCCTTACTATGTAACCAGATAATTTAACTCAGTTTTGGAATCCTACTCCTAAATTCTGATTTCTGTGCCATATAATAAAATGGATGCCAAAGAGCAGACATACTTTTTCAGAAAGTTCTTAAATAGGTCCTGCCCAACAGAAGGAGGGGACCTCTATCTTATGCCTTTGGTAAGGCAGCCAAAACTTGGACACAAAAATTCAAGAGTTACACCTTCACAAGCATTGATAACAAAGTACTGCAGATCTATAACCTAAAAGTTATAAAGTTGTTCTTCTATGAACAAAAAAGCATCAGGATACTCAGATCTTAAAAGTCAGCTTCAGACATCTTTGGTAGCTGGTCACAGGGTTAATAATAGCACAGTTTCAGAGAAACTTATTTAACTGTTTTGTGTCATGCAAAACAATTTAGTACTACAGCTTATAACTGTTTTTAAATTGATAGCAAATAAAATATTTATGAGAAACCCAATTCTAGAAGCCTGTCATTGCTTTTCATCCATATCTTAGTACAAACACAGCTTTCATAATTGAGATTAATGACATTCCAGTTTTTTTTGCATCAGCACAATTCTCTAATGGCTAAGATCCCATGACGTACCTCATGTACGAGCAGAACAAGACACCATCCTACCACACAGAATTCTTCACATTAATACTTACAGAGACAGACTAACGCCACTGTTGGACCTTGTAAAGAGAAATTTCTAATCTGATGTTCAAACCAGGAAAGATCCACAGAAACTGGTCCGTCATATACCTACATCTGACCTTGATGCAAAACTAATCACAGAAAACTGAGCTAGAAACATAAAACCAATCTGCTGGAAACATTGTGGAACTTCTTTACCTGTCACAGAAATTGTTTTTAATAATTCCACTCTAGCTCGAGAAGACAAGCAGCTTCTTTCCCCATACTGGGCATTTGGGCATAACTATTAGTTAAATTACTAATGTTGAAGGACAGGTATTTGTTTTTTTTAGATAGCATTAGCATCTGATACAGAATGCCCAAAAGCATCTATACGCTAACAGAACAGAGTTTTGGCTAGCTCTGTTTCAAAGGCGCAGCAATTGGCTTGGTTTTGCTGTTCAAACCGTGCTTTTGTACGGGCAATAAGGCTGCCAACCAAAATTAAACACTATATATGTGTATGTATATATATATATACACACACAAACACTTATGTGTGTGTGTATATATATATATATATATGTGACTACCTAGAATCCTGCAATAAAAGAGCATAAAGACACATGTAACATCATAAATTTGCACATGTGTACATTTATGTCATGCCATGTGACTCATTGCACATACATCCTGTTTTGGGATAGTCTCAAAGTATTCAAATGACTCCTCAAAAGGACAAACACTGTCACGTCGAAAACACCTTTTAACATATTCTGAGGAGCTTTTATAAGGTTCATTCTAAAACTTATTTTTTCCCCTCTAAGCTTCCGGATGACATTTATCTGGAAGACACTTATGTCTAATTATTATATTAAAACTTGATCCTCTGTGACAGGCTCCTGGACTACTTGGAAATGAGGAATGGGAGGGAGAAAGGAGAGACGTAGAAAGGAAATGGTTCTGGCACACATCTTCCCTTCCTTCTCAAAGATTTTTAATTATTCATCTGCTCTTGCAAATTCAAGGCAATCTTTCCCACATTAAACCTCCGACTGAATGAACACAAGTGAAATTTCCACTCTCTACTAGTGACTTTTCAAAGCTGTTGAAAAGAATATATCCAACATAAAGTATTTGAAATACTGTGTAATATATATATTACTATACAAAAACCTAACCATGACACTTCTTTGATTCATCTGAGAGAAAAAAAGGTATGTTTGCTTTGTGTGAATAGAATAACTGATGCCCCAGAACTTTTCAACATTATCTGGCAGAAGTCAAGTGACTGAAAAGCCATAAAAGTAATTGTAAGGAAAAAGAAAACAATTTAAAAAGGGAAGAAAAAGGAATTTTAGCATATGGAAAAACTCAGCATGAAACTTGTTTACATGGCATTGTAAATGTTTTTCTTTCAAAGTTCTCAAATGTGATGGTAGTTATAAATCAAAATGAATTCTTCTAGCTCATGAGTAAATCCTACCTTTTTGACTTAAAAATTTAAAGTTTTAAGTTTGTAAGCGCTGAAGGAATCCCCTTCTGCTTAACAGACAGTGAATAAGTAACACAACACTGAGAATCCACTTTTTCCCACTGGCAACACAAATATGCCTTCTGAGCACCTAGAGCTGTTTCTGAATACTGATTATTAAGGGCCAAAACAGCAAGTGAAAGTCTAGTGAGAACTGTTTACTACACTGAAAAAAAAAAAAAAAAATCAGAGGAAGCACTAAAATCCAAGGAAGAGCCCCAAAAGGTATTTTAATGAAATAGATCATTTTTAATCACTAAACTGTACAAGTGATCATAGAAGAACTATAAAGCAGAGGGGAAAAAAAAACAAACGTGCTCACCTCTTGCACAAACGAAACAAAAGCCTACATTTACAGCTGATGAGGAGTGATTCCTTTTGGAATGGTTACTACAGATGAGAATGTGGGATGACACAAACAAGCTTCCTGCAGCAATACAGCCATCTCCTGAGTGATAGGCAATGGGACATCTGAAACATCTCACCATGCGACCTGTTTAATATAAATGCAGAAAAATGCACCATGTCACCCTAGAATCAGGATATGGTAGAAGACACCGCACAGAGAGATGCAAGATTGATATTTATTCCAATCAGAGTACTAGATTAAAGAGAGACATTTACATCTTAAAAAAATTGTTTCACAGAAGTTAGAAGTTTAGAGTTAACTTTCACTGTAAAGCTGTGTTGAAAACAAAAAAACAAAAGATCCCACCATGGTTTTAACCACTGTAGAGTCTGCTGGTTTTGTTTAAACATTTTGGTTTGTTTCTAGGATTCTTTCCTTCTGAAAAAGCTCTGTTCTACAGGCCGCTAAAGTATCTTTTTTAAAAGATTCCTCAACCTTGTACAACTAACCCTTAGCTTACATCAAACCCAGGTATTCAGAAACTAAAGGTGACTAAATGTTACAGATCCAGGTACACTTAGAAAGAGGTTTCAGGCTGCTAGCTGTTTTCCCACCCATGACAGATTTACATTAATGACATCATTAAGAAGGACCCTTTGTTCCTTCCTACACGCTGCATTACAGAGGGTAAAGTTATATCCTTTGTTACTGTGAGGATGCATTTTAGTTTGCTCCTACTGTTCAAATCCAGCTGTGCTCTCACCTTTACTCGCTTTATGAATATCCTTATCCATTGAGCAGGCAGTACAACAATGCTGCGGGCAACGGAATCCTCGTGACTCGAAGAGAGCAGTGGCAAACTTGCGAACACAGGCCTCGTGATAAAATTTACCGCATGTATTGACAGAACAACGCTTCACGTCCTTGCCAGGAAGTTTGCATGAAAAGCATGTATGTTCTCCTTGTAAGAAGAGCAATAAAGATGATCAGCCGTAAATGTCATTTTTTTTTGGAGATTCAGATCTTATGAAATCCTGAAGTGAATAGACCTACACTGGCTTGAGCAACATAGGCTCCTTCCCTTAAAACAGGAGAGTCAGCTACTGCAGTCCACAGTAACTACGTAATTGGTGTTAACAAAAAGTCCCTTATTCCGATTATACCCTGAACAGCGTATTACTTGTTCTCTTACTAGGTACTTGTTACGTAGAAAATGACAATTTGGCCTCAGAGGTTAAGAAAACCCCAAACCCATATCCAAAACCTATAATCTTACTATCTCAATTTGTTCCGACTAGAATATGGCTCCTCAGAAAAGCAGTAAATTCTTCCCCATTTTTCAGACATGGGAACACATTTACCATTTTTACACTCCGTGCAGATGAACTTCTCATCAGGTATCGACTTCAGGCCTAGACACTCCATATGAAAGACACCGCAACACTCGCCTTCGCAGGACACCAGAGACTCACCGGAACTTTCGCAGATCTTAAACAAGCAGACAGCTAGTCAGAGAATAAAAGGGTATCTGACATACTTAAATGCAAATGACTACCAGATGTTAAACCAACTAACCAAAAAACAAACCAAAAAAAATCCACCACTCCTCAAAACTGGCTGAAATCTCTTCAGAGCTATGATAAGGCAGGAGAATTGGCCTATGTCCCAGGGTAACATGACAATATCTACAGGCTGAAGATAATCACAACAGTTATTGGATCTTTTCCCCTTAACAGGGCAAGTCCATCCTTTAATGGATAGAGATAGGAGAGTTACTACAGGATCCATCTGGACTCCTACTTTTCTTACAATCCTAAAAAGCAAGAGAAGCTTTTCCTTCCGGTCAATCAGGAAACTGATCAGAATATTCCAGGGTTTTCCTCTCCAAACTACTAAAAAACTCTCACTGTCCTATTCTGAAAGACTACCTCAAATCTTCACATGGAACGGAAAATGGCATTTAGTTTTTCTAGGTATGTTAGCTAGTATGGATTAGATAACATATTTGAACTTTCTGGCAGGTAGAAGGGCACAGGAATAATCTCTAGAACATTTAAAAATAAATAAATAAAAGACTTGATATTTCATCTAAGATGTCAAATTATGAGGCATGGTTAAAATAAAGTGGTATAATTTGAAAAAATATCATCAAATCGAATTACTATCAAAACCAGACAATTCATCTTTAGTGTACATTTCTTTACAGGACTATTGCTTACCTGACATACAGTGTCTTTTTTATTTGTTCCAGTTCCTCTCCTGGATAAGCTCGAGTCTACTGACTGCACATCAGAAGCATCAGCATCTGCAGTAGCTGATGGGCTGTCTGAACGTTTTCCAAAACTACCCTACAAAAAGGAAAAAATCCAAGGCACTCTAAACCAAGATACTTTCAAAGGACAGTCACACTATGAAAAAAAAATTTAAGTTAGCACTGATTAAAAGATCACTCAATATGTTAAGAAAGTCAAAGTTCCTTGAAAGTTGCTGAACTTCACTACAATGATAGAAGAAATGCTGCCTTCTTAACATATCTTTTACCTGCACAAGCCAAGAGAAAAAAAAAAAACGTTCATTTTACTCTTTTCAGCCACCTCTCTATTTTACACCAAGATAGAGTAGCATCCCCCAACTCCCAGCTTAAAATCTCTCCAACAAGCCAGTGATCTAAACTGATATGTTTTGCCAGGCAAAGGAGCAGCAAAATTTGTAAAAGAAGTGGTATTTTTTTTTATATCAATATAGGGGAGGATGAAAAATAAAAAGATTATGCTTTATTTTCTAGACAATTAAAGATGTGAGATTTGTAGGAAATATATCTCACAGATTTAGCAATATGCAAATGAAGTCTATTATACCACTGATTGGTTAAACATACTACAACCTCTGTGAGAAACAACACACTTTTACCTGTAAATCATTAAGTCCTCTTGAGTCAGAGTCAGATGTATCTCTGTATGCTGAGCTAGTCAGTTCTACGTCAGTTGAGGCACGACTCCTTTTCTTTAAAGGTTTACAGGAATCTGAAATCTCGCTGGCACCTTAATACAACATATTGAAATTAGTCCTAAAATATGCTCTCAACTGTTTTTGTTAAATAAAGAAAAAATAAAGATGAGAAATCACTGAAACTGTAATTTTTTGCGGCTCTTAATATTCAGTTTGCAACTTTGATAATAATTTAATTCTCTATGAAAAGCTAATTAAATGAAAATCACTTTAGGAAGATCTTTTGAGAAACTTCTGAATATGCTTATAAAGTGGAGGAAGCTACTAAATTGTCTCTAACAGAGTATAAATCCTTTGCAGATTACCTCTCCATCATTCATCTTTAGCGCATAGCTAGGCAAAGGCATCACCTTTTTTTTTTTTTTTTTTTCCCCTCAAACGAGACACAGGAAGTCCAGAAGGAGGAACTAAACTTATTAAACCTACTAAACTTACTATTTTCCCAACTAGCATTGCAAAACAAACTAAACACCAAAAAACCCACCTCACAAGAGAAATTAAGATCAATATTTATCGTAATGATCACCAGCAAGCATTAAGACCTCTGGAGCTCGTACAGACTGAAAGCCAGTAACAAAGTATGAAGGGCCAGCAAATTTTAACAGTTTATTTTTAGTAAGTCACTCACCTTTCTGCAATCCTGTCTTCACTGCAGTCAGTGGTACCATTTCAACCTGTTTAAATAGGAAAATCCATAATTAAAAAACAAAGGAATTTTTTCCCCTAGTATTAAAAAGAAAACATTTAAGTTTAAGTGATTAGCATATCTGAACTCAGATGTAGTCTGTCATCCCCTTCTTAGTGTGAGCCTTCTGGTCCTGTTGGGATTTAATCCTAGTTGCCTATGCTGAATACCAGGAGACAAGGCAGCCATACGTTCACTAGCAAGGTCCTTTCCAATTACTCCCTTTGTGCATGAAGATGACAGGAAAACTTTATCCGTGTCCAGCAGGCAGGAGCGGGGTTCATTTTGACAGCCAACACTGATGCTTTTGTAAAACCCCACACCTGTGTAAGTACAAGTTTTACCTTAACAGGTATGACATTCAGGTTAGTGAGACACTTAACGTATTGCCATTTTAAGGCACCTCCACCAAGAATGCACTCTTGAGCTTCTGGGAACACAGACCTTTTCTCTGTATAGAGTGCTGCAAGGCCCACAAAGATGGAGATACGGACTTCGTATAGAGCGTTGCAGAGCTCTATACAGCTGGAAACTCAATGTCAGTATGAACTTAAGCAGATAAGTTTACGATCTTGCAAAAGCACTTCAAGTTCTTGATCCTATATCAGGAGGATAACTTTAGAAACTGTTCTGCCAATGTACATGTAACGTGAGAATTTGGTGACTGTATCATAATTATAGAAGAAAGTTGTTTCCTAAAGTCCTGTTTTTAAGGTTAAGAATTACAAGGTTTTTTTTTAAACAATGTGGTTACATATGCATGTAGAAACACATTTAGTAAATATTTAAGGATTATTCTATAATTTTTTTAAAAAATATTTTATTTTGTTGTACAATAGGTAAAAACATACAATAGAAGGATTTGTATAGGATACATTTCGTAATACAAATATAAAATCTAAACAATCACTTTTATTTCTCTACTACTCACTGTAACAGTAGCATTAACATTTTGTTTTTCCCATTAATTGTACTCGTTCCAGTTATAATTTTATACCAAGTGGTTGCAGACTAATTTGGGAATCCGTTGCAAGAAAACTTGACTTTGGGTAACAAATATTGTTGCATAATTGTAAGAAGTTAGTACTTTTTTTTTCTTAATATAACTTAATACATTCAAGGTTATGCGCATTACAGTGCATCTGTGTTTAAGTTTTAGTCATATACTTTTCCTGAGAAAAGCACTTTAATGTTCATAGTCTTAGTTAGCTACATAATATAAGCATAAGCAAAGCTAACTGGGATCCATGAAGTTCATATTGTTGGTTCTTATACCTTTGTTAAATTAAGGAACATTTACAAACATAAAATAACTCATTTGAAAATAGGGAGGCTGCAACACATCATGACAAGAGATTTAAGGGACTTCAGATATCTTGCGCCCAACATTTAAGTTGCTTTAAAGTTTCAGCAAGAAACTTTTTAAAGTTAGAACATTCTTCTGCTGGACACAGAAGTAAATGCTATAGCATAAAAAGAAAAATATGAAAAATAAAAAAGCAATTAGGTCTACCTTCAACCTCTGAAATGAATGAAGTGCAAAAAATAAAGCATAAAGGGCAAAGAATAAATTAGAATAAAACAGATAAAAACAATTTTTTCCCCTTCCCATATAAATCTTTAGTCTGACCACCCCTTTTTAAAAAAGCTCATTGGAAAAAGCTGTATTAGGAAACATTTTTATATAAAATTATCAGGTTTCAAGTGGAGAGACCCTTAAAGAGGAAAAATTGAATATGTAAGGAAAAGAACCAACAACTTTGACAAACTCGTTAAGAAAGTGTATTCAGAATTTAATGTTAAAGTATGTCCATCCACTCAACTTTCCTATTCATCCCCCCCTCCCCCCCCCCTTTTTTTTTTTTTTATTAAAGCAACAACATTTGTCTGTCTGACATCCAGATTAAAGGAATGCCCTGTACATGTTAGATCTACTTAAGGAAAAAAATGTATATCCCAGAAGATCTGTTTTGTTGATGTCTGCCAACATAAAAGTCAAATTATTCATCTTTAAGTTAAATCATTCTTAAAGTCCATTTTCAAAAGTGGTCAAATTAATCAGTCTAACTTCACTTGAAAAACAAAACCTCAATACAAACCAGCAGCTAAACCAAGAGCAAGAGGAAGGAACCTGGTGGCAATTCCATCAAAGAAATTACTGAAACAAAATCACTTTGCTCATAACAGAAATCTCAAAGTAAACATGGCAGGTTCATTAGGAGTCTTGCATCATTGAGTTCCCATTATCCATAGCCTGACTGATACTGTGAAGATGCCAGTAGCAGAGTCACAGCAATGGTATTGACAAAGGGATTTCATGAAGGATAGTCCAAAACGAAACCCGATGGGGAAAAATGGAGAAAAATAAAAAGGCACCAATATAAGCCACAACATTTATGAATACAATATATTTTAACTCTCTACATGGAGGAAGCCAACCTGCTCCTTTTTGATCTTCTTCTTTGGCACAACTTCAGTGGATTTCTCAGACTCTGAGCGGGTTCGAATCGATCTTCTCTGTTGCTTCTTTTCTACAGAACCTGAAGAAGGAAAAAGGTTTCTATTATACGGTTCCTTGTACTTCAGAGTTACAGTAAGATGTTGAACACGAATCCAACAGATAAAGTAACGAAACCAAGACTTTTTTCCTCTTTTGAATGTTTTATTTTTAAATTCAGTTCCAAGTTATTTGCCAACTGGTTCTCTGGTTGCAGATAACATATTCTGATTCCATAAGCAGAGAGGCCAGCTTCAGAAAAAGACGCCAGTTAACAGAACAAAAGGAAAGGCTGGAATCCAGTTTAGGGCAAACAGATTTTCACAATATAACTCTCATAGTCTTCACTTTGGTTAATTTTTAACCAAATAGTCCATCTTTGGCGTTTTTGGGAAGGTATCCACGATCAACTTCTTGAACTAAAACATCCTAGAAATTTCAGACACAAAACAGTTTCCAACATTTCACTCTCAAAAATACAGTTCTGTGCCTCTGCTTTACAGTGAAGAGGATAGTCTTCTGCCAGAACTCTAGCTATCACAAAAACTTAAATCAAAAACCACGTTATAACACGTGCCACAAATCTGAAATCTAAACACTTGACTAAAGATTTTAAGAGGCAAATAAAAATTTTAACACAAATAGAAGCAGTCACCACGATGCGTCCTATTGTAATAAATGAAACTCAAAACTAAGTTTAAAAAAATATATTACCTTGGAAAATAAACTCAGATTAATGAATGCTATTACAGTGTGAGGTTTTTTTTTTTTTTTGGGGGGGGGAGGGGAGAGGGGGCAGAAGGGGGCAGGGAGAATTAAGGTTGGCAAAATCGGAAGACCTTTCTATGCTATACTATCTCCAAAAAGGCCAGGTTGAGAAACACGTTCACAACAGACATAATGTGCAGTTTTTGAAAGAAAGTATATACTTAGTGCTGTACAGACAGAAAACTGAAGTTCAAAGTTTTAAAAATTATCCTTTATCAAGCATTGTTCTTCTTTTTCAGTTTTGGATGTTTTAACTAAAGAGGGCAAGACTAAAAGATATTTTGTATTCTCCCAAGTAAAAATACAAACCCCTGGGACCAGGAATTAGCTTACTTTACCAGATACACTGTTACAAGTCGAAAGCCTCTGTCTTGTTGTTAGGGCATAATATATCTAGAGAGTTAGGCAGACTTTAATCTTAAGACCGGAAAAAAGGCTTTCCAAAGGACTCTAGAAAAAAGTTTAATTTCTTCCTTCAAGTATCTTGATTAACTGGATAAGCATTTTTATCAAGGTTACATGCAACATGCCATGGTGCACAATTCTCAGTAACTAAAGTTTCTAGTTTAGAAAGTTATTCATTTAAATTGGTTCAACAGAAGTTTGTAAGAACTGTATTTCTGGGAAAAAAACATTTAATTGTTTTTCCTCAAAGGAAACAAGTTTAACAATATGCTAACTAATTAATATCAATGAAATTAATTATATTAGTAATTCATAACTCAACTCAAAATCCTTTATGTTAAAACTCGTATAACTTTGGTTGCAATGAGCTGCATCCATTGCAATACACAGACTTTGTGTTAATTATTACACATCTCAACGCAAAATCTAGAGGCCATCTTTTGTCACCTTTGTTCCGCCAAAACTCTCTGAAGCAGCTAAAAGTCAATTTTGTGCAAGTATGACCAGGGAAGTTCAGTTAATCAACAATGCCTTCTCTCCCTATGTTCCTGCATAGTAGCAAGGAAATTAAGGTGCGAGGTCTGTTTCAGAAGAGAAACTCTATGACCACTGCACCTGGTACCGGCCAACAGCAAGATCAATCAACGCGACAGGCATGTTTTTTCTCCTCCTACTCTCCAAGAACTCAGTGCATCACCTCCACAATGCTCCTATCTCATCTTCAGGCATATTTTCATCCAGAGTTTCAGAACAGACTCAGACCAACAATCTACCTTACTGCTGGTCAAGTCAGGCCAATCCTGTTTCAGCTCTAACTGGAGACCAGAAGCGCTATGAATTCTCATAGCTGTTTTCTTATTAGATTTCAAGTTACAGAAGTATTTTCCCAGCATTATGGAACTCTGTATATTTAACTGCAGGTTATTAATACGGACTCCCAGAGTCATTCTGTAAAATACTTTACCGTAAAGGTATTCTGAAGTTCCGGTGACCTTAAATTTGAAAAAAGGACTTCGCTGTTATGTTCCATGAGAGGGGACCAATAACTGTCTGGACTTTGGAAATGGCTTTGAAAGTGACTGTTTGGAGTGTATACTGAAGTAAAGCTCATGCACTGTATAGGGTGTTACCAGGTGAAGTTTTACGTATCCAAAAAACCTAAGAAAATGAAAAAAGAGAGGCTCAGAATTCTCACCCTCCCTATGTCTGAAGAGCCATTGTGAAGGTGAAGCCTTTAGTTCCCAGGTGAGAGAAACAAAACAGATCACCTCTCCTGCTGCAAGGCATTTAAAGTAACAACTGCTTGAAAAAGTTGAAATAACTACAGTAGTTAAAATTGGAAAAAAGAACCACTGTTGACAACAGAAGGGGAAACCCCACTCACACCAGAACATCCAGCCTACTCAATGTAGGCTGTGAAATCCTGAAATACCTTCCAGAAAATAGCATATATAAAATAAGCCTACCTAAGAGCTATTCAAGTACAAAACTGAAATGGATTTGCAGAGGTGAGTGGTCCCATGTATGTTGACCATTGTGAGGTTTTTGACTTGGAGTTGCACTTCATTTTTGTTCAGAAAGGGAGAAATAACCAGATAGTCAGACAATTCAAGCAAAAGTTGGGTAACGTTACAAGATTTTTAATCTCCGCAAGAAATAGGGGGGTTTTGCCATGTAAACTGCAACAAATCTCCCACTTTTTGGTTCTGTAATAGCATTTATTCATCCTACTACGAGAGAACATAATCTGCTCCAGCCTAAAATTTACTTTGACATACCCAATGTAAAACTAGATACACTCAAGTATACCAAGGATAGGATTAAAGCACAAACATGTAATAGTTAATGCATTTTACATGGCCTGTACAAAGACTGTGGCTGAAATACAAAAGTCACTATAGCAAATGAAGGAACTTGAAAAGCTCTTGATTTAGGAGCACTCAAAACTCTCTCTCTTCTCAGGAACCTCCATCCTTTCCCCAGAGGGGTATCTGTCTCCTTTTGAGGATGCTGAGAGAACATACTGCAGAAGGAAATTTCTGCTCAGGGAGGAAAGCCCAACCCCTTTGGAAGAATTCCCATTAGCTGTTTCTTAAAATCAAAAGATGAAAAAATTTTGGTTTGCTGTTCCAAGGCTAAGCAGCACTCATTCAGTTTATCATTCTCATTCTTCTCTACTACCATACTACAAATAACAAAAAACTACAAATAATTTGTTTTAGGCTCTCTTTCCAGTCTCGACCTTCATTACTTGCTTCAGTGATTCTTCTCCCTCAGATATAATACTTCATAGAACTTAGTGCTTCACAATGAGACCCCTAAAATGCTCTCAGAAGGCAAGCGTTTTCTCATTTTGCTGATGGAGTTAGCTGAAGCAGTAAAGAAATTTGCTTCCTTTACAAAGGTCATACAGGAATTAAACAGCAAAGTTAGGGAAAACACTCATCCTTATTGAGAGCCATTCTTTGCTGAACTGTGACCCTTCCAGACTCTCTTCCTTTGATCCTAGTTGCCATTTTTTACATTTGGGCCAAAAAGACATTAAAACGCTTTGCTCACACACGTACACTGTATTGTCTTCTAAAACAGCTTGCTATCTTCTCTCCACCAGGTACACATCCTTCTAATAGGCTGACTTATTGGGTACTTTAAGTTGCAGACACTAACAAGTTCAACAGAGGGCAAGTCAGTCAGTCCCAAAGACATCCTCTGTTTCTCAAACACCTGGGCTGGCCATTTGTTATATTAGCCACGCTTGCTACAATTATTAGGCAAACAAGATGATGTTCGAACCCATTTTTAACTAAGGAGGAAATACCAATTTTGACATTTGAATTTAAGTGCTAGCTTGGTAAAGTTTAGGCAAGGAGTCCACAGTTTTGCCTACCTGTAGACCCAGAAGTTGTTTCAGGAGAGGACACGTTTTGCACCGTTGCTTTTTCCGTTCTCTGATTCGATGAAGAATTAAGCTTCTCCTGTCCTTTGACGCTTATTTCTGTTTTGCTACCAACTCCCTTAAAAAGGGGAAAAGATTATGTTAGCCTAGTTATATACATGCTGTTGCTAACAGGCATATTAATCTACTAAGTCTCAGAACAGAAGCCTTCAGTGCTCTTCAATTCAACACACACATGCAACAATATTTACTACTGAGCGGCTCCCTTGCAGAACTTTCCATCCCTCTCAATCGCTACTTACACACAAGGAAAAAAGAATAAAGTTATTCCAGTGACTTTTCTGAAGATTGCCTTCTCTATAATGCTTAGGACGAAATAAATACCCTCTCTGGAGGGAGGCAGAAGGAGGCAGAGAAACTCCTAAACCTTTTCCTTACACTGACTGTGAGAGAAGCTGCTGTTCTTCTTAAGGAAGCTAGGAGGCGGAACTCGTTTTAAAAGTCTATTACACAAAATGTAGTTATTACTTCTTAATATATTATTAACAGTTTTGTCATCTGTTTCTCACAAATAAATCAATTTTAAGATTTGTCTTGCAGAGACTTGATGGATTATTTCAACTAGAAAAGTGGAATTAGTCAGCTATAATATTCTGAATGAGTCATCAGCAAGAATGTGATCATCTGTAGGGAGCCCCTCTGCAGCCAGTCAAAATGGCTACTGCTGGAGACTTTATTGTACTGAACTCTTAATTTCAGTGCAACCCAAAAGACTGTGTTGTCGCATCCTGTCTTTTGATAGATTTAGTCTCTCCAAAGAAAGGTACACATACTGTTAAAGTTTGCTGGACACAAGTGTAAGCTCTGCAATATGAGACACTTGGGTTCATTCACAGAAAAAGAGGAGCCACTAAACAAAGTACCCACCTTAGTAGAATAAACAAACTGATCGATGAGTTTTCCATCCCCAGCAGCATTCTGAAGAGCAAAAACCTGTTCAATTTTAACAACTGGAGACATGTTACATTTTTGAAGATCCAAGGTCCCCTTGTGCATGGTTATTGAAGCTGGTAAAGATTTTCTAGCTGCAGCAGTTTTCCATGCTATTTTTACAGGAGGTGGCTCCTCTTCTTCCACACTTGACTGCCTCCTTTGACTTTGTCTTCGCACCTCAGCATTTGAAGGTGATGCTGCTACCGCATTGGCATGTTCTGCCTGGGTGTTCAACGCTGGCTTAGGTCGTCTGTTCTTCTTAGCCTCTGATTTAGAAGCAGCAGTCTTTTTGGCTTTTGACAAAACTTCCTCTGGCTCTTTGTCTATATAAATGAACGTGTATTGTTCTATTCTTTCTTCTCGAGTCATTTTCAGTGCTTTCTCAGCGTGGGCAATACCAATATCCCACTGAGCACGCTCTCTTTGTGGCCTTGGTTTGCGAATCTTAAATAATAAAGACAAGCAGCTAATTACATTGAATCTCTCTCTCTTTTCCAGATTAGGACAATAAAAAATGGAAGATTTTGGTATGTATAACACACAATATGCAATCTTGAGGTTCTTTAAATCTCTGACAGCAAATTTAAGTTTGCTAAATTTACAGGTTATCTTTGAAAGGTGGACAGTAAATCTCCTACTTGAACTGCAAGCAGACACTCTAGCCAGATAGCATGACCATCACCATTATAAGATTCTGTCCGGAGTCACAACTTCACTAAAGACAAGAGTAGGCAGTATTTAAGCCCAGAATTCTGTTTTAAGTGTTAGAATGAAACCCATTTTTTCTATTTTTTAAATCTTCCATTCCCCACCCCCAAAACGTCCTTTTCCTCCCCATCACTATTTTAATTAGCATATATCCTGACTTAAGTAGTTCATCCTACACACTAATTGCTGTAACTAACACTTCCTTTCCAATAAAGCAATGGAAAAGAATGCATCAACATTCACATGCAATAATAATGATTACACAGGAATTGTTTTTATTTAATATTATAGTATAGATATAAAATTATATCCAATGCCCAGGATGACTACCATCACGAGGAACAGACGCATAGGAAGTTCAACTATTAGCCTCTTCACACGGAAGTAATGAGAGCACAAGAAAACTTTTAGCTATCTTTGTGAACAGTGCTTTTGCAGGTGAAATGCAGATAACCTTTTACAGTCCTGGCACTCAAGTACTCCAGTGTTTCAGAATCGCCCCATATAGGTTTCACTTTCATAGGCATTGTTAATTTTCTACATGATTAGTGTTGATCATACCTTCTGTTTCTCAGAGTGGTTGCTAGCTTGCTTCGCAGCCTCAGCCAATAATTGCTCATACTGTTTGTGTCCTTTGTACTCTCGAACCCGCTTTTCATGCACCCATGCCCTCTCTGGCTGGTTGCTAAAAAACTGAACGTGGTATTCACGGGCACCTGAAATTGAAAAATTCTAGTATGTAGTTTTATCAACAACACTTTGTTGGTTTAACTTAAGCTTTCCAGTTCCACATGACTCAACTCCTGCAGCTGGACATACATAGCCGAAGCATGGAAATAAGAGGGGCCTCCAGTCAGAACAATCTAAATGGGAAGTCAAGTATACTTTGGCCACACTTAACACTCACGCTTATCAGTGTCTTCTCACAAAGACATTGATGTGAGAAGAGTAAAAGTGGGAGTATCTGTTCACAAGACTAATAGGCACAGGTTCATTTGTAGAACTAATTAAAAAAGTATGTTGTTGCATACTTTACAGTAACAGTATTGTTTAGCATACACACAAGCAGATCTACCCCACAAAGAGTTCAAGGATAAGAGGTTTTTAATAAAGGAACAACTACAGACACCTGACATTCTGACAAAGATCCTTTGCCCTTACCTCTTGTATTAATTTTGGTATGAACATCAAGCTGTGGATCACATGAAACCATGCAAGGCCACCATGGGTATGTTCCCACCTTGGACCAAACCAGATCGCCAACCTGAAACTTGATGTCATGACTGACTTGTGTTGGAAGAGAAGGCAAGAACTGCTGGACCTATAAAGAAGAATGCAAGCTTAACAGAATACAATTTAGTGCATTTACAGATGCACAGATTATCCACAGGGATTTGCTATTTTTCCCCTCAGTTATCACCGATGCTTGACAGTCTAATGTGAGGTATACTTTTCTTACAAACATGACAAAAAGGATTTAAATATAATCAGGATTTATGTAAAATAATCACTGATTAACCAAAACACACAATAGCAAAAAGAAAGGTTTCTACTCGTAAGTCGATTTAAAATGTTGGTTTTGGGATAAAATAAAGCAATAAATACAGCTCACCAAAAGATGTTTTGAAACACTAATGATTACCAGACATTTAAAAAAAATGACAATTAAGTTATTTGACAACCTAACGAGTCTATATTATAGTTAACACAAAAATAGCATGAAACCAGAAGTCCAGAAAGTGTTAACTTGTATATATACTAACCGGTGTTTCCTCTGACAGTGTATCTTCTCTTGGCCTTTCTGATAGCATGCTAAGCCTCTCATTTGGTCTCTAGGAAATGGGTAACAATGAAGAGAAAAAAAGGAAAATAAACACAAACAGGATAAGGAGACAGTAAAACCAAAAAGCTATACCAATGAGACCAGGCAGAAAAAAATAATTAGCAGAGAGAAAAACAATCATGAACTCAGAAAACATGAATATGATGACGCTTTACAACCAATTCAAAGCATAGTAGCATCACAATTAAAAAAAAAAAAAAACACACACCTTTTTCTTCCACACTATTTACATTACCATTGAAACTACATAGACCAATGTTCTGCTGTAACAAGTGACAGAACAACATACACTCAGAGTGGGGTGTGGGGGGGGTAAACCCAAACAGCTTTCCAGCTAAATATACAGCTTGGAAGAAACAGAAGGACAGATGAAGGATATCCATAGTAACATGAAGAGTCTTACTGCATACTGGTCATTTTCAAAAATAGCACTACAGAAATCATGTGTTGATTTAAAGATACAATATGAAAACTGTAATATCTATATTGAATTGCATATACTTGATAAATGTTTAGAGCATCTAAGGGGGGAAGGGGAAGAAGACTACAGTGCATTCACAAGCCAGGCTGAGAAGCTCATGCAGTTTATAGAGAAACAGGTTTGGCAGATGTAGGATCAACACTGAACAGAAGCCAAAACCATCAGCAGAGTGGAGATGATAGGGAGAGTGATGACACAGCAGGTGAGCAGACATGAGCTGGACTGTGAACTATCTAATGAAACAGAGACCAGACATTTGCTTTTAGTATGGCAGAAGTCATTAGTGAAAGGACTCAGAGAAAAGCTAAAGAGGAGTTGGACACATTCAAAGAGAAACTAATAATGCTAACTAAATTATACCTAGTCCACTTAAAATGAAGACTCCATGTTATTACTGCACGCTTCAGCTCTCAGCATCCAGAAAACACTCATTTAAGCACCATCTATGACAATTATAATCAGCTTTGGCATAGATCAGTATTTCATTTAGAGTTGCCTATAGGAAATGATTGTTTACGTCCAACCAAATATCTGCTGGGTAAAAATCATTCCTCCTTGGTACAGCAGAAAGTATAGCAATGATTCCTGCCTGCCTTTTGCTACAATGAGTTAGTGGAAACTTCATGTCTGCCTGAACACTTAAACTGATTAGACAGGAAGCCCAAGAGACTGCAAACTTCCAACTCCTCACAGAATACAACTAGTAAAATAACTCATTCTTGAAACAAATAGTCAAGAGAGCTTCAAGTTCAACAATGTTTTTGTAACTTCTTCATTTCAAATCAAGTTTTCAAGCACAAACAGTTCCCCAGTCAGTGGGGTTCTATGGATTACAGGATCAGAATGAGGAAGCAACTACAGAATATCCTACTTTCAAATGACTATGCTAAATAAAGTATAAAACAACTGAAGCTATAACAGAAGTTGTGTGTGTTTCTATTAAGCCAATTTTAATTTACAAGTCTCATAACATTAATACAAAAAGATCACAAAAAACATACCTAACATCATGCAGTATAAAAATAAACGGTGAGAGAATGAAACTGACGCTGCACTATGATAATTCTTGTTAAAAACCACTAGCACAAAATACTGTTCACCTTAAGAGTTCCACTGTGATTTGAAGTTTTGTCTGAAACAAAGGGTAAAGACCATGAAAGATTTTATTGCAACAACGCCCTTAGAAAGAGAAATGGAAGCTACAAGGAGGACAAAACCAAGACTATACTAAGAATTTTGGTGAATTCTGGATGATACATGGAAAATGTGACTCGAGTAAGACAATATAACTAGGAAATCCAAGACTGCCTTGGATTTTTAGAGGCAAAATTTTAGTTCAAATTGGGAAGTACAGCATGCTGGAAAAGACCTGAGAAGGTGTTCTTCATGATAACCAAGCTTGCAGACCACAAGTAACAGAAGTCAAACAGAGGACAGGTGCAGCTGAAGCTACGAGAGTAGAATCAGAGTCCCTGGTAAGAGGCACAAAAAAATGGTAAGACAAAACTGACAGCCTAACGTGGGAGTGACTGACATCTAGAGAAAAGGGCAGAAGGGACTTGGGAAGCCTGGATAAAACAACTCTTTTGCTGAACTCTGAATGAACCAAACTCACTAAGGTTTGTTTTAACTGAAACACTGGCACAGGTAGGGTGGAGGGAGATATACAATTATAGCAGCAAACAATGGGCAGGTGGAACAGCAATGTACAAACACACAGCCACTCAGCAAAAGCACCAAGAATCAACCATGAGAACTAATCTGTCTTTCTACCTCTGCACGCGTGTATAATGCAAGTGTGAGGAGACTGTACTTGACGGAATTTGCTTTCCTATTATAACTGCCTTCTGGTTCCTATTATAACTGCCTTCTGGTAACAAATGCCAGCTGGACACATCATTTGGCAAACCTGAAAGTGATTTCAGACAGAGCATTTCCAACATCAAGAAATTTACATACACATTCAATCAAGGACACCCTGTATTTTTTCTTGGATAGTCTATTTCAATTTCAGATTTCATTATTTATTAAAATGTTACAGAATTACACTAAAGTCAACTATGGTGATCAAATATAGCAGAAGTTCAAAGCCCTAATTGATGCATCACTCAGCTGACCTCTAGAAGAGGTCCAGTTAACTACACCTACCAGAAGGCAGATGAAACAGTTGGAAAACATGCAAGAAAACATGCCAAGACGGGGTCAAATCAGCACATCTTCCATTAAAACAAACAAAAAAACAAACAAAAAAAAAACCCAACCAAACAAAAAAAAAAAGATCACACCAAGAATATGAAACTGCTATACCACATCAGAGCCCCAATCCATACAGGACAGGTTCTTCCCCCAAATCAGCCAAGAGTGGCAAATATCAAGGAGTTTCACAGGAACCTATGAGAAACTCGACCACAGACGATAATAGAATAGCCTAGCTTGAGCTGGGCAATTTCTGTTCTGGCCTGATATGGTAACTTCCACATTCCTGACACACACCACCACTCTCCACTACCCATTCCTCTCTCACTGGCAAATACAGAAACCAATATCGCAGAGTTGGGAGGAATAAGCAAGAGAAAAGGAAACAGAAGTACTGAAGTGACTCATAAGACTTACAAAAAACAAAAAAAGAAAAGAAAAAAAAAGGCTAACAATACTGGAAAACAATAATTTCTCCCTCCACTTCCTGGAGTCTAAGTTAAAATGCTGCACATATATACCCTGTATATGTACATCCATATTACAAAACTTAACAGAAAAGGTAATAGACAATAGTATTGAACTTTCTCAGAGGTTGCTGAGTCAACTGGTATTTCTAATTTGCTTGCTGTGTTAGAACGCTGATTTCTACCGGCTTGTACACATGCTACATAGACAGCTCTCACTTTTTGTACATCATTACAATATTTAGCATATCTATCAAAAATGTATGTGTCAGTAGACAATATCAGTTAAATATAAAGTATGCTCAGATACTGCACAAAAGCAGGATAAGTATCTAAGATTATCCACAGTAGATTTGGGTTTGTTTTGGAGGAGGGGTAAGGCTGCTGCCTCTGGGAAATTAGACCGTTTCCACCACATTTAAAAGCAGCAGTGCTGAATACTCCAGTGCTGAATACTCCAAGTAGCTTGACATTCCGTTCAATAACCCAGCATTATTTTAAAAGTCAATTTTAGAACCTTTTGAATGTGTATTTTTTTGGCCAAAAGATGCATCTTTAGCATTGTGCAAAGCACACCCAACTCTGAACATGTCAGAATATTAAATAATACTAAAAAACATTAAATAGCCTCTTCTAACATTTATTTCTTATATACAATATTTTCACCGAAACTGTGTTGTCCTAGAAATAAAGTTGCTAGCCATCTAATATGGAGCATCTGACAAGTCCATGAAGCCTCACAACTTTTTAGGTACACGTACATCTAAAAAGTAAACAAAAACACTGCCGAAGACGAATTCTTCACCAATAATATCAGGTATACAGACGTCTGAAACTATTATTCCACTTACATTTTGTTCCTCTGGTTCTAATTTTGGAATTTTGTGCGACTTGCGCTCTACCGATCGGGAAGAGTCATGCTTGCTACTTTTTTTCCTTTTCTCTTTTCTCCCTTCATGTTTCGCTTTAGCATACTCACTCGCTTGTACTTCATTTAAAAGGTCCCCACACAGAGAGGACTCAAACAATTCCCTGCCGTTCTGGATAGTTTTGGTTATTTTTAATTTGATCTCTGGTGAGCCAGTCTTCTTTGGAATCACTGTTTGTGAAACTGAAGGTGGCGGAGGAGGTGGCGGCTGTGGAGGAGAAGGTTTTTCCAGAACTTCATGCGGTCTTGCATTAGAGTTTTCCATTTGGTAATACTCTGGGGGACTAAAGTTTCTAACTGTACCAAAACCATTGGCTGAACCATTGGGATATTGACTGTATGTCTGGTATTTGGCTTGAGGTTCATACATATTGATTGTTGGTGGATAGCCATTAGTGATTGGTGGAAGATCCTCCGTCGTGGGCGTAGGGTACTGAAAGCCTTGCTGTAGGGCAGTTTCATATGGTGTTTGTCCACCATCTTCAGCGATGTCACTGCTGGCATCAAAGGCATCCTCTTGGCGGATGTTGGCTGAGTCAATGAGTTGAGGTGGTTGCTGAATTGTGTTTCCCATGATCCCTTGCATGAAAGAGAAAGAGAAATCCATTGTTCTGCTCCAGCATCCTTAGCTTTCCCTTTTTCTCATAGGGCCTAAAGACAGGGGAAAGGCAAATAAGTAGTCAGCATAAAACAAACAACTGTTTTAATTTGCTTAATACTTAAGAGAAAACAGATCTAAAACCCAATCCTCCCTCCTCCCCCCTTCAGAAGCCACCCTTTCATCATGCATTTAGAGAGGACTAATATTACCGAATCTTTAGAAAAGGCTGTTTATACAATTTTGCCAAACTTTTTTTTTTTGTTTTAAACATGTTTGCTTGCTTCTTTTCCAAGACATTTAAAGCAATGATATAAGCACCTGTAAGCACTCAAAAACTGTGAGCCCAACAGTGTCAGAATAACGGTGCTAAAATTCAAAACACTATATATAGTCCTTCTAGTTTGATTTTAGGAAGCATTATTCTAACAAAGCAGCAAGACAACAGACTTTGATCCTTTCTCAAACAAACAGAAGATACCATGTTCTCTTGACACTATCGAGTCACTGCAAACTCAGCAGCCCAGAAAGAACACAGAAAGACCACTCAAACAAAAGACAAGCCTTTTCTCTTCCTGCTCTCCTCACCCCTTGCCAAAACTAGAGACAGATGAGCAGCCCTTCAGACGGTACAAGGACTAAGCCACAGGCTTTTCTAAACAATGGCACAATTAAAGCAAGTAGGTCATTCCACCTCAGCTGCTGGGAAAACCAGTTCAGATGGTATGACATTAGTAATTCAGCAACCTCAGACCAGGTTTCCCCACCTCTCCCACAATGAAAAAGCAGAGCAGAGTTTGCACTCATGGGCTCTGGAACAGGTAAGTGGGAAAGGTTATTCTGCTCACTTTGCTCCCCTCTCCCCACTATTTTAATATTACATACTCAGGGGTTCAAACAATTTATGGTTCTGAGGGGGAGAAAAATAGCCCCAACATCAAACTATCTCCAGAAACAGTGATCATTCACCGATTTACATTACTGCTGAGAAAGAGTTGTTACACATCTTCAGTTTTCCATTTCATATTAAAACACTAACATCAGACTAAACAAAACCAGACTCGGATTTCCAAAATTCAACTATCCACTCAGAGAAGGATAATCCTCATACTCCCCCCACTACCTCCTCCCCCCAACAAACAGAAAAGCCCCACAACACATTCACTTGAACCTCAACGTTCAATTAACAAAAACAAACAAACAAACAAAAACAAAGAAACCCACCCACCCACAATGATCTGAACTTCAGGTAAGAAATACAACTTGCTTCCAAGCAAGGTCAATTTAGCCCTTCCAAAGTAAATATAGTACTGTATTATTTATTCTGTCCCTGTGTAGGCAAAAAGGAGGGTTATTGTGCCCTTTTGGTCAGGGTTTGAAATGACATTAACACGTCCCACAGATACTTCTCATAACAAGAATCTACGTATAATCCTGCCCACGTTAAATTCTCACCCTCCCCATGCAATGCATCTCAATACCATAGCTAATAGTTTTCAAAACACTAACCACACTTCCCTCCTCAGAGACTGCAAAAAGAAATTAAAGTTATAACAGCAACAAGAACAACTTGATCAGAATTTTATTATGTATTTTTTCAACTCCATATTCAGATTATATTGATGTTAGTATCCATCTTTGCTACTCAGTGCAATCAACTATGGGTACATTTGTCACTGTAATTAAGTGTTTTAAGGAAACAACTTAATAGCACAATGCTGTGCAGCAAAATTCTCTAATTGCAGTAACTTTAAATCTCAGAGCAGTTGCACCATCTCTGCTCTCCAACAGCTCTCCAAAACAGCCACAAAACCAACACAAAAATGTTACTGTTGATGATGCACATGTAGCAAGCCCTATTGTGTCAAGGTCAAACAAAACAACATCACCACCACCCATGCTACGAGGAGGAAGTGGAACTGTTTGTACTATTTACAAATTAATTGTTATTCTCTATATGCCAAACTAAAGAGCAAATGACAATTTTCTCAGACTAGTAAGAAATTTCACCCTAGGTTGTTTTTATTTGCTATTAAAAACAGGTTCCATCTAAAGCGATCTTTTCTGAATGCTTCAAAGCTTTGAGCTTAAAACCCTGCATAGAAAATAAAGAGTCGTCATAGCTTCAGTCATCATAGCACATCCATTGTTAGGCGGTCAGAGTGAGAGCAGAAATAGTTCAAAAAGTATTAGAATTAATCTTGACTTCCTGTTGCTTTTCTTTTTAATAATAGGAAGTAAATCGCTTTTTCTTTACTCGAATGCTCTGAAAGTAAAGTCATCCATTTTTGTAGAACCAAACACTTGACAAGTTATGCAAGGTAACTGTTAAGTGATCCACCCCGGCACCCAAAGTTTGGTTTGGACACACCAGAATTATACAAACTATCTAAACAACTTGCAGAAATGTGAACTCTGCAAAACTAAGAACTACGCAGCATTCTGTGCTTCGCTAAAAAGACAATTTTGCTAATGTCACATGGTATTTGAACAATTATGCTTCATGTTTTCCTACTTGTAAGTCTGACTAAGACGGGAAACTTGGTTAAGTTTTGGTTTCTGCCGGATGATGTTAATCTGATGAGATAAGACAATGGTAATATTTAGGTGCTTTCATTCTCTCTTGAGGAAGAGGAGAAAGGATGATAATTCGTTCAAAAGATGCATTTGGGGTTTTTTTTCCCCTAGTGCAGGTTCTTTTGTCAAATATCAAGATAGGCTATAAATTTCACCACACAGGACAGCTCTTTTAATAAGCAAGTATGGTGTAAGAGGGGAAAAAAAAAGACTCACTGCTTCTGCCAGAACGACTAATTCTCACCCAGCCAACACCATCAGATTTAAAGCTCTCATGAACCCTTTGGTCTTCAAATCAGCAATAGTGATTTACATTTAGAAGACAGCTTTGAATCCGTTCATATTGTACATCCATCTTCTAGTCAAAGAAGGGACTCATACAACTCATGTACTCCCAGTATTACAGACTGAGAACCTGTGGCTAAACAATCGTGTCAGGGAGGAAAAAAATAAAAATTCTCTCTTACCATTACAACTTATAAATTACATCATTCGGCTATCCAGTGGATTCCTCTGGCAGCAGTTTAACAACATCTCACTGTGGGCTATGTTAGCAGAAATTCTGATCTGTCACCAGGCTGATATGCTCATTTAACTTACATCTTACTTAAGGATTTCTCTGGAGTTTAGTCACAACATCAGATTATTGTGCATAAAGAACATTAGAAACAACACATACAATTCATAAGCCAAACAATTCCATTCAAGAGGCACTAAAATTGTACAACAGCCTAAGCAAAAGGCTGCTTGCTGCCCTAAAAAACATTTCTCTATCCCACTTTGTCATAATTTTAAGTCTTTCCTTACAAGAGCTTCCAAACCTTAGAAGTTATGATATAAACCAAACTATTTTATTTCACTAGGAAACCAAGGATTATTTATTCTCTGGGATGTTACAGGCACATATTGGTTGATTACAACGTATTGTATTAGGTTATTCACATTCACCCATTCTAATCCCATCTATAAACACTGTTTAAAAATCCACAGTCTAATTTATTAAGTGATTTAACAAAGTCTGTTGACCAGTCTCAGCTGTGTTCCTAATAGGACGAGCTCCTTGTCATAGGGCTAGGGCATTAAGCAATAGTGACAACACTACAGGCTTCTGTTGTCATGGTCATGTTAGTCGGAGAATACAAAAAGGTGCAGTGTTTGATCAATATAGCCAGTGAAAGTCCTTTCCTATACACAGTTAAAGGATACTCTTGTCAGGATAGTTTATTTTACTCAGAAGAGCTAAAATAACATTAGTAGCAAAAACATAGTCTTGCTAGTATAGAGAAGATTACGTGCTGCAGCAGGCTAACTAGTAACCGCCATCTCAGATTATTGAGCATAATTTTGAACACTGCTGATTCTACTCTTACATTATTGATGAAAGTTTTTCTTACCCCCCAAAAAGAGAGTTTTGTAGGTTTGTACAAAATACAGTAATACGACAGAACTTACCTGTAAGCTATACAAACATGCAGCTATCCATTACATTATTGCTCTATCAGGAAGAGTTCAAAGAATGAGAAAAGATAAGGTAATTATGTAATGCCTAAGTGAAATCTCCCAAGATTCAAGAGTAATCACATTAACTTGCTAAACACAACACCAAATTAATTACCATACCATTTTTTTCCTATAGTGTCTTTTAACGGCCTAGTATTTGTCCTGCAGTAAATAAAGAAATAAGCCATAGCAAAAATTGGTCACAGTAAAAAGACAAAAAACAAAAAAAAACTATTGCAACTTCAACTGCCAAAGAAAGCAAAAGATTTACTTGATAACTAAAATAATAATGCATTTCTAATCCTGGACGTAGATTTAGTAGCATATAAACTGTGACCTGTGGATTTCTACAGAATTCAGCTGAACTTAACACAGTGTCTCTTCTAGCAGACACGTTGGATCGGAGGATTCTTGACAAGCTTCTTTAAAATATCTAGTAAGGCTGACTACTTCCCTATGTACCTTTTTAAAGAATTTTTTTTATTGCCAAAAAAAACCCTGTCATCTCTGTCATATGCTTTTTATAAGGCAATTTTTAAGAAGTTTCCCATGGGGAAATGTAAAGAAACAACTTGGACCGCAGCACTGAAAATGCTATATATATAAAAAAAGTGAATTATCCCAAGAATAAGCTTAGAGTACTCATTTGCTTTTAGAGCCTCAGGGCTTCAAACGGGAAGTGCGGGGTAAAATTTTTAGTTCCTCGCAATACCAAATATCCTAAGAGTCATAATATGTTCTCATATATTAAAATCATGGTAATAACAACTGTAATGGATCTAGCACATGACTTTGAACTTTGGCAAAGTTAAAAACTGAAAAATGCATAACTCTGCTTACGAAAACAAAGAATACAGTCTTTGGTCATTATCCTCTACTCTTAGTCGATATCTTAACTTAGCACACTTTTTTTTGGAGGGCAAAATGTTTTCAAGCAGTTCATTAAAAAAGCTGCACGTAACTGCAAAAACATTCACTGTGCATCTCTACAAAGAGCTGCTGGCAGACCTAAATGGTCATCAAACAGCTACAATTTTTTCTTCAACTATGATTACGGTTTATTTTACACTGCTTTTTAGGTTGGCAAATATCAGAGACCTACGTTATTTTTAGAGGTCTCTTATTTTCTTCAACAAACCGAAAATCCTAAAGCCATACGCCAATCAAATATATTGACAGTTAAACGAAAGCAGAGCCAGGCACTAAGCGGAGCACAACGCTGTATTATTGCAAAAAATTCCAATCCCACAAAGCTAAGCAAACCGTTGACCTGCACGCGGTTCTTGAAAGCGTGTCTTAAAAACCTCTCGAGGCGAGAAGCTGACAAGTATCCGGTTCAGCGGCAAGAGGGGACGGGAGCAGCTCCGCACCGTTCCAGCGGAGCGTGTCGCAGGCTCCCGCTCGCCCGCGGGGACCTGAAGTTTTTTCCCCACCAAAACAATCTCGGAGCTCGGTAACGCGGCGGGCTCCGCCAGCCCGGCGCCCTCGGGGGCCGCCCT